GAGCCCTGTCACACAGCAGCCAGAGCTGGGCTGTCCCCTGCAGAGGGGTCACAGTGCTCTCAAGGAGGCACAGGGAGTGAGACTCTTGGTCTGAACTGCCTCTCTGCTGGGCAGTACCAAGGGCACTGCTGGCACCAGCCCCATCACTCAGTGAGCTGGTGGTGCTCTGACACCTCTGAGTGCCCTTCCAGCCCAGGAGGGCAATCACACAGCTCTGGGTCCAACACAGGACGGATATTCCACAGCCCTCTCTCCACAACACACCGTGTTTGAGACGCTTGAGTCAGTACAGGATCTCCTGAGCCAGGTCTGCTCCTCAAAGCAGCATCCCAACAGCCAGCACTGCATGCAGGAGACAGAAATGCCACATCCCATCTCCACAGTTCAGGCTTCCTATTCAGTGGGAGAAGGATGTGAAATAAACAAGTCCTTAATCTCAAATTCTGACATTTTTGAGCAATCACTGATCTCCGTAAATTTATAAGTCCCAAATGCTCCCAGATTTTACCTTTGGTGGGTGTCTACTCCTGATATGAATAATAAAGAGAAAGAAACATTAATATAAAATTACTATTGATTTGCTATCAATAAAGAGGTGACTCCTAGACAAAGAGGTAAAATCTCTTTAGAAATGTAAACAGTGCCAGTATCCTGTGAGGCTCATTTGATTTACCTAAGCATCAAAAGCAATAAAAATATTTAAATGTTAAATACCCCAAAGCAGCCATTGATTTAGTTACCAAGTTAGTCCATCATATGTGAAAAGTGAGCTCAACTACTTCAAACAAAAAGTAGGAAAGGTTATTATTTCTATATAGGTGGAAGAGCAGTGGTAAAGGAAACCTGGACTTCATATGATGTTGTACCAAATAAACATCAAATTATTAATCTGTGCTAGGAATGTTCTTAAAAGCCTAGCGACTTGCACACAGCAAATGCATATACTGCAATATGGTGGATAGTCATTAAAGTGTTCTGCTGAATAATAGGGAAAAATTCAGAACAAGTAAATATACTGTATGGATGACTCACACATACATGACATTTCTACTTCAATTTTTCTATCAGGGACTGCAAATAAAACAGATTAAAAGCTAAATACAGTCTGTAAAAGCTTTGCTTAAGGACTGTGAGAAGCACCTGGCCATTTGCATATGCTGATTTGGGTTTTTTTAGTAGAACAAGCCAATCTTATCCAGTTTGCATTGCTATCCACAGGTAACTACACCAAAAAATAAGGAATACATAGCCATTTATGTCTTTAGTAGGAAACTTAGCATAGAAATAAGGAGACAGTCAAAGAGAAGATTTTTTTCAAAAGCTGGTGGTGCCTGCAGGCAGTTGTGGGACAGGGCTCTCAGTGTGTACAGAACTTGTTGCCTCCTGGCACTAAGCATCAGACACAACCATGCAGCTCCACTCCTTCCTGAGAGCATGAAGTGGTTAGACAGCCTGCATGTCTTTTCCTTTTCAAGGTCTTGCAAGGAGGAATAATTCAGGAGAAACTGCCATGCAGTGAAATGAAATGTTGGTAGGTTTATTTTCATGCTCGGTACTCTGCATGCCAAGCCTTCGCTTGTTAGTGTAAAGATGAAGCAACAAGAGGGAGATTTGGGTTGGTTTTCCCAGAAACAGCATCTCTGAGCAATAAAACTGGGAGAAATTGTGTCACTGTATATATGCAACCAGCAAAATTCAAGCATTCTTTTCAGTTTGGTTGTAAACTCCTGTAGAAGTGTTTTTGTTTGAGCCTCCCAGCCCTAAAGAACATGGGCTTTTCCCCATATAAGGAATGAAAGGAATTGTAAAGCAGCTATTAAAACCTACTGAGCTAATTTGTTAAAAGGTTGCCACATTAGTGAGAATAAAGTTCTCATTGTCAGCATTATATTTCCACATATTCAGTTGAATTCTAAAAATCAATAAAATATTTCTCTTAAATGTGGAAGGTAAATCCTTCTTTCACTCAAGTCTGGAAGCATCCTACAGTTGACGTCTCAGCAACAGCACAGGATCCTGATGTCAACTGCAAAAAGGAATTTGAAGACTGAGTGTTGCAGCAGTTACTTATATGAGATCCCTCATGAAACACATGGAGAAATCTTGACAGGAAAGTAGTTTAGAGATGTACAGCTGTCACCTACTGTGTAGTTACAGTTACATTTGTTGGGAAAAAATTGGTATTATTCAAGAAATAGAGTAAAAACCTGCTCAAAAGCAGATGACGTAAGATTTTCCTGCAAAACCAACAAGTTGTCCAGGATATGTTTGTGTGCCTTTGTTGTGTGCACAGCCAGAGAGCAGCACAGCTGAGGTAAAAGCCACAAAAGAAATCTTCCCCATTACCAACACGGGATTCAAATTCCTTACAGAAGGAAGCACTGTTTGTACCACAGCCATCTTCCATCTAGGTCCCTGAAAGACACAGCAGGAGACTCAGCAAGGATTTGCATTGCTCTGAGTATATCGAGAGGAAAACTCGTTTGGGGAGACAGCTTGTGTCTAGAAAAAAAATCACATCTAATAAGGTATGGCAAAAGTAATACCTACCACCTTGCAGGCTCTGGGAGGTGCTGCCAAGAGGGCTACAGTGTGTGGTAGCCCCTGGCCATGAAACTCCTTGGCCTGCCTCAGAGCTGAGAAGAGCTTGGAAGGCAGAAGTGGTACTGTGCTAGCTTGGCTGTGCCCCAAAACTGGCACATGGGGATTACACCACTAATTATTTTCCCATACTGGGCAAATCCTGCCCTGAAGGAAAAGCTATAACTTCTCCTTTTTCCCAGTGCAATGTACTCCCACCCACGGGATCATCTGGGTCTTTTTATACAACGTTATATATTATGGAGAAAGCCTGTGCTCTTTACAAAGGCTTTTTTAATTTTTTCAGCCACCTTTCCTCGTGCTTTCACATGTGATAAAAAGGCTTTTATAAGCCGAACATATCTTCCCCCATTCCATCACCCCACATGTCATAGGCACTGCTTCTGTGAGAGGGCTGCCTCTCACCTGGCAAGCAGAGCGGCTCCGCTGGCTGAGAGAAGCCAGCCCGCACGGCAGGCTCCCCTCCCGCCGGGGTTTGTCACTTCACACCGGGCAGCGGGGCTGTGCCTTGGCACCCGGGGTCCGCTCGGCCTCGCCCTGCCCGCCCCAGCCCCGCTGCCACCGGGCCCCGCCGAGCGCGGCCCCGGGCCGGGCAGTGCGGCCGGGCGGCCTCTAGGTGGGGCAGCCCGGCCACGGGCGGCACCGGCACGGTGCGCTGCAGCTGAGGGAGAGGGGGCGAGCCGGGCCCGGGACAGCGAGCCGGGCCCCGGGATAGCGAGCGGAGCCCTGGGAAATGAGCCGGGCCCCGGGATAGCGAGCTGGGCCCCGGGATAGCGAGCCAGGCCCGGGACGGCGAGCCAGGCCCAGGGACAGCGAGCCGGGCCCAGGGACAGGGAGCCAGGCCCAGGGACAGGGAGCCGGGCTCCGGGACAGCGAGCCGGGCCCCGGGACAGCGAGCCGGGCCCCGGGATAGCGAGCCAGGCCCGGGACGGCGAGACGGGCCTGGGATAGCGAGCTGGGCACGGGGATAGCGAGCCAGTCCCGAGACAGCGAGCCAGGCCTGGGACAGCGAGCTGGGCCCCGCGACAGTGAGCTGGGTCCTGGGACAGCGAGCCGGGCCTCGGGACAGTGAGCTGGGTCCTGGGACAGTGAGCTGGGTCCTGGGACAGCGAGCCGGGCCTCGGGACAGCGAGCCGGGCCCCGGGACAGCGAGCCAGGCCCAGGGACAGCGAGCCGGGCCCAGGGACAGCGAGCCGGGGGGCTCCGGTGGGCGCGGGGAGAGGCAGCTGAGGGCACGGCGGGTTTGGGCTTTCCCCGCTGAAACGTAACACACGTCCGAGAAACGGCGGACCCGGTGTTTTGGTGCAGCACGGTGTGTGTATTAAGGCTTGCGGCCGCGTCCAGACGGCGAGGAATGGGAGGTGCGGAGCGCTGTCAAGGGTGGAGGCATGGTGGGAATCGTGCCCCCCTCAGATATCCCCGTTTCAGGAGCTGCCCTGCCTCTCCGCTGCGTCCACCATGTGCACTCCGAGCCTTTCCAGGAGGAGAGCTTGCTCCCGGTTTCTCCGCGGCACACTCGGAGGGGGCCCTGTGTCCCCCTCACGCCGTGGCCGGGCAGCCCGTGCCCTCCGGTGCCGCCCCGGCGGAGCGCGGCGGGAGCGGCTGCCAGCCCTGCGCCAGAGCCGGGCCGCAGCTCTCCCCCCATCCGCCCTTCCATCCCTCCTGCCCTCCCTCCCTCCCGCTGCCCGTCTCCCCGGCGGGGCTGGGGGCCGGGACCACCCAGCTGGCCCCAGGGCCGCGGCACGCCGGCCCTGCCCGGCCTCCCTCCGCCGCTCCGCTGCGCCTTACCCCCGCTGCCGCTCGCTCTCCTCCCGGCCTCTTCCCCAGGCATTTCCTCCCCCAAACAGAGGTTTGCTGATCAGAAAGAGGGTGCAGAGATCGCCCGAGTAGGCGGAAGAGCAAAAAAAATTAAGAAAGAAAAAGAGAAAAGGATGTGGGGGGAGGGAAGAGCTGAGTAAATTAGCAAAGAATTACAGCCACTGTAAACTATATGCAGGTATTCTAACAGCTTGGGCACGAAACTCTGTAAATCAGGGTCTTCCTGGGCTGGACTCCGTGTGCCGGAGCACGGCGGGAGGCTGCACCGGGAGAGGCTCGCTCTGCTCCCGCCGCTCGCCGGCCCCGGCAGCCGCCCGCTTTGCCCCTCTCGGAGCGCTCTGCCCACCTGAGCAGAGCCCGACTGAAGAGAATCCCTGGCCGGAGCTCCCTGGCCGGGACTCCCTTCTCCGCGTGCCCCTTCTGGCCATCAACCCAAACCTCGACTCCCACGACCCGCACCTCCAGCCCTTCCTCTGTCCCCGCGTCTGAGGCCGCTCATCTCTTCTGACATCCCAAATTTCATCGCTTGGCTGTTAAGGAGCCTTTAAAACACTCGTGCAGGACACCCTTCCTAGCCCCCTATGTATATTCTCGTAAGTGGATTTCTCGCAGCTTCCCTAGATGCTTCTCGTTTACTTCCAGCTCTTAAAAATTCCCCTTTGGATATTTTTTAGTGTATCGTCATACCCAAGTCTTTGGTGGCAAAGCGGTGGCTTTCCTAGGAAAAATTTAGGTAAAAGGTGGGTCCAAGCAGGGCTATTAAAATGGTCTGAGTTTGTTCAGAAAGATAAAGACAGCTCCCGCTTCATCACGCAGAGGTGCACTCCAGCTTTGCGCTGTGTATGAAAGTGGGATTATTTATTTTATTGATTTAATTTTGATGTAAAAAGTATGATTGAAACCATTTAATTCGTGCCAGAGTCGTTGATAATCAATTATTGTCGCTTCGTAGTCTACTGCAAACCGACGTTCACCTCTGTGAGATCAGGTAGGGAGGTGTTGGCGGTGGCCACACGCCTGTGGAGAAGCCCGGTGACGCCCTGAGAATTTTGTTGATGGAGCAAAGCGGGTTTGCGGGTGTCTTTTTCCTGTGCTTTATCTCCTTATGTTGCCGCGCTCACCAGCACCAAACACCCATGTTCGTGAAGCACAGGCGTTTCATTTCTCGTGTACCTGCTTGATACCCTTGCCGCTATTTTTATTAGCTCCGAGAATGCCAATAATATTTGAAAAAGAGGAAAGTATGATGCTTGGGGGCATATTGTTGTTTTGGCAACGAGTCGCAGATATACAATTCATGTGCGTGTATCAGTTTCCAAAGTCTTCCTGTGTAGGGCCGATTTCTTTTAGGGAAAGCATCATTTAGGGAAAAGAGTTTAATCTGGGAGAAATTGCTTTCCTAATACGGGCTTTATAAGCCACATAGACAGAAGACCGTACTTAGTATAAACCCGACCGTGTTTTTAAACAAACGCAATAGCGAAAAGCGCATTTTTCAAAAGCGGCCGAGGCTGATTTGCGTTTACCCCGACAGCGCGGGCGGCCGCGGGCTTGGGCGCTCATCCCGCCGCACGTACACGGCTCGTTCCCCCGCACCGGCACGGCGTCTCGGCCCCGACAGATTCAGCACAGGCGAGTTCCGAAGCCCTTCCCCAGGGCACGCAGCAATTCACGCCAGACTACGGCGTCGGTCCCGTCTCCGCCACTTCTCCCTTCGGGACCGAACCTTTCCCCGGCGCCAGGCTGCAGCGCTCTGCTGAGGCGCGGCGAGGGGGGAAACACCTCTGCACTACGACCCCTCACTCTCAGGCGGAAGCCGCCGCTTTCTGCCACGGAGCGGGACCGTCCCTTCCAGGGTCTCCTCGGCCGCGGGCGCCGGGGGCGGCGGGGGCGCCCCGCGGGCCGCAAGGGGTTAAGAGACGGCGCGCCCCGGCGCGCGCCCGACTCGGATTCCGCGCTCAGCGAGGACCCCGAGGGCGAGCGGCGCTCCGAGGAGGAGGGCGCCGGTGGCAGCGCCCGCCTCGCAGAAGCCACGGGCGGGGGGCGGCCGGCGGAGGAGGAGGCGCAGCCCCCGGAGGCGGCGGAGCGGGACACCACCGGCCTCAGCGACAGCGAGATGTCGGCCGCCGTCTCAGGTACGGGCGGCCCCGATGGCGGCTCCTCCGCACCCGCGCGAGGAGGGCGGGAGGGTCCCGGAGGGCTGGGAACGGGAGATGACCGTGGCTCTCCGCCGGCTCCCCGGAGCTGTGCGACAGGCTCGGTTGTGCCGGGGGGGAGAAAAAACCCGAAACACGTCCCGCGGGGCGAGGGAGGGCGGATCGGGGAGGGTCTTTGGCCCGGCTGAGCCCGCAGCTCGCCAGGGCGCCCGGCGCTTAAAGGAGAGCGAGGAGCCCCGGCCACCGGCGGCGGCTGTCCCGGCGACGGGGCGGGCAGCGGCTCGGCGGGCTCTCCGCTCGCCCGGTCGCTGCGGGCTGGCCGCGGGGAGCGCGCCTGTGCGCGGGTGCGGGCCCCGCGAGGAGCGCGGATGCCGCTGTCCCGGTGCCTGGCTGCCCTGACCGCCGTGCTCTCGCCCTGCCCGCAGATCGCAGCCCTCCGGAGGAAGAGGACGGAGCGGGCAAGTGCGGGAATCTGCTGCCGGGGGAGGAGGAGGCGGCGGCCGCTCCGAAACCGCGGAAGAAGCGCTCTCGCGCAGCCTTCTCCCACGCGCAGGTCTTCGAGCTGGAGCGGCGCTTCAACCACCAGCGCTACTTGTCGGGGCCCGAGCGGGCCGACCTGGCCGCCTCGCTGAAGCTCACCGAGACGCAGGTGAAGATCTGGTTTCAGAACCGGCGCTACAAGACCAAGCGGCGGCAGATGGCCGCCGACCTCCTGGCCGCCGCCCCCGCCGCCAAGAAGGTGGCCGTCAAGGTGCTGGTGCGCGACGACCAGAGACAGTACCACCCTGGCGAGGTGCTGCGGCCGCCCTCGCTGCTCTCTCTCCAGCCATCCTACTACTACCCCTACTACTGCCTTCCCGGGTGGGCTCTGTCCACCTGCGCCGCAGCTGCCGGCACCCAGTGAGAGGCACACATACACAGCCCCCCGGCCCCGGCACCCCCGCCATACACACGGGCAGCCAGGAAACCCATCTTCCCTCTGCCACCCCCCCATCCGTCAATCCATCCGTTCAGCTTCTCAAGTCCAGAGCCCCAGCTGCAGCTCTCAGTGCCTCGGACAGTATTTATTATTATTTTATTGTTATTTTTATTATTAATATTTTTGGATGGTTCCTCACCCTCTCCTCTTTCAACATAGGACTTCTTGGCTACCCCCACCCTGACCCTCACCCTGTCCCCATCCCGCCAGCCGAGGACTCTTGCAATTCGGCACAACTCGTTCATGGTATCCATGTTGTCAGTGTATTTGGTGTAGACTTTTTGTTTGTTTGTTTTATTTTGCTTCGGATGGGTAGAGACTCGATCTTGTGTGGAGAAAAAGAGAGAGAAAACAAAGGAGAGGAAAAAAAAGTACAACCTGTAAAACCAAATGCAAGCCAAAAGAGGAGATCAAGGACTCCCTCAGTGGATTGTAAGGAAGATTATTTTTGTCGTCTGAGTCCTTGGTCTTCCAACTTGTTGCAAACTGAGTGTGCCTTGTATGGTGCTGAATGTATGGAAGCCTCTTTCAGGTCCCCCTGCTCTTGTTGCTCATGTTATTCCTGTACTCCATGATCCCTGGGAAAGGATAAATATGTCACAAAAGGGTGAGACTTATATCGAAACTCTGACTTCTTTTCCTTTTTTTCCTGAGATCTTTCCGTGTTCGGGGAGGGAGGAGTTATGGATTTTTCGCACTTTCCAGATGTATTAAAGTTGTTGTTGTTATTTTTATATTCAATGTGAATATTTCTAGTCAGGCTTTTTAAGAAATCGATGTAACAGGAAACTTTAATACCATCAGTGCCTTTTACAATTCTTCTGCAGAGCTCTCCTCCAGGGGTGGGGGTTTCTGATCTGCTCAGCAATGTAATTACAGTCTCTTTCTTCCAAGGTAACTCGTTGCTTTTTTTTTCCCTTCTTTTTTTTTCCCCCTCCATTTCCCTTTTAATGGCACTGTGCACTCAACTAGATTATTTACTTCAAATGAATTGTGAATGTTTGTAAGCTACCCGCTGTACTTGTTTTGTTGTTTGTTTTTTTGTTGTTTTTTTTTTTTTTTAATTTATAAACTTAGTTTAACACTTACCTCTGCTGTTTCTGTCGTTCCTGAGAGCGGACACGGATTTCCCCAGTGATATTTTTTCCCTGCAGCAGACCTCAGGCCGTAGCTCAGACCACATCCCTCCTTTTCCCACTTGCACGGTGATGATCGTAGGGCCTGGCAGAGATCTGTGCCGCCTTTCCTGGCTGCAGCAGTCAGCGCTGATGCCCGTTCCCTCTATGGGAGGCGGAGGGAACCCAGGAGCTCTGGCCGGGCGCCTTAATCACTTCTTTGGTAACGCCTGTCGCAGATGGAGCGATCCCCCATCTGCCGGAGAGCCGGGATCAGTGGCTGAATTTACGGGTGCTGGTAGCGGTGAGGACGCGGTGCAGTCGGAGGAGCCACTGGGACCTCGAACTGCTTTTCCCGGTCGGTGGCAGCCTCGCCGTGCAGGCTGCGGCCCCTCTACCGCGGGCCGTTCCCGTTTGCAACCTCGGCGGATCCTGGGCAGGTGCGTGGGTCGGTGGATTGTTTTCTCTCTGCCGGAGCCTGGCAGAGAGACCGGGGGCGCGGGCTCAGGATTTGGGCTGCAAGAGGGGGCTTCGGCGACCTCGACGAAACTGCCCAGGCCGTCTGTATCCCGACACTGCCGCGACAGCCACTTGGGGCAGCCTCCCGCCTTGGACTGAGTCTCCTCCAAGCCTCTGTAGAGCCCGGACCCTCGGCGCGGTGCTGGCGGCTCTTCCCCGCCGTCGGCTGCTGTCCTCGGGCGTCTCCGCCGAGGCCGGTGCTGGCCGCAGGGGAGGGCAGGCCGACCTGGGGTGGGCAGCTTCCCCGGGGGCCGGGGCCGGGCAGTGGCGCTCGGAGGGACCGGAGCCGGTGATGGCTGCAGCTGTTTCCCCGCGCCGATGGAGCCCTGCCGGACCCCGCTCACAGGCGGCCGCGTTGTCTGGGCGCCGATGAGTCTTCATCACCACGGGCTTCTCTTCTTTCTCTCTGGTTCGCATAGCTTTCGCTGCGGCTCCCGGGCGCGAGGTGGCTTGCAGGAAGCCCCTGCCGCCCCATCGCTTCCCGGCCGCTGCCCCTGCGAGCCGCCCCAAGGCGCAGCCGGGCTTTTTCCCTGCCAGCCCCTCGCTCCGGCCTCCCTGGCTGTCATTCCGCTTTGCCCGGGCTCGGGCACCCCGCGGGTCAGATGTCCCTGCGCTGGCACCTCCAGCAGCACTCGGCAGCGGTGGCTGCCCGTGGGCTGCCCCAGCCCCAGCAAGAGCTGGGGACCAGCGCTCTGTTCCCAGAGCCGTCGTGGCACCGGAGGAAATGTTTTGGGTTTGGTTTTGCTCTGCCGGGCGTGTCGGCGGTCCTGCTGCCGAAAGGAGCGCTCCAGATGCAGCAGTCCCTTGGCAGATACGGGAGGACTGACATTTATTTGGCCCGATCCGAAGCTCCTGTCTCTTTCTTTTTTTTTTTTTTTTTTTTTTTTTTTTTTTGTAACTATTTCCTTCCGACCTTCCGACATTCCCAGCACTTTCCTTCCGTGAAAAAACGAAACTTTTGGACAGCAGAATCTGGACCCTCGTGCACTTAGGGAGGTAAAGAAGTGCCACTGCTGCCCTGCGGTTTGCTTTTTCCTGGCCCCTGGGCACGTTTCTCTGCCTGCAGCCCCATACAAGGCACCGAGCCATTTACTCCCATCTCAGGTTCGATGGTACAGCTCACACCAGCGGAGGTTTTGTCCCCGGTAGCTTCCGGCTGTGGTTCCTATCGGGCCCCCTGTTCGAGGGAGCGGACTATCTCTAAGCCTAATCATTTTTTCCCTTTGGTCGCTGTGTTGTATTATTTTGATTTGTGCTTGCTAACAGATGTAATGCTCTAGGGAACCTCCTGACATAAAAGGGAAGTGACTGTTATTAGAGATTCCTTGGGTTGTAACACTGGCTAACAGAATAAAGTGTCAAACTAATTTCCTATGAACCAGGTAAAACTAACGTGCATTTTACTCGAGATAGAAGTTGCTGGAAAAGCTGATCCGAATAAAGTTGCCTGAAATTTTAGTATTGGTGTTTAATATCGAACATTTCTGCATCGACAGTGTCTTCTTTTGACATTGACAAAATGTGATACTTGAGAAAGGTCAGTATATGATACTGGGAAAATGTAATTGATAATTTAAGGGAATTTTTCTGGAATTTGAGGCTTTTCTATTCCTGTTTTTTCTTAATAATTTTGATTTTTTTAAATATAAAGCAAACTCTCGGCATCCTTTATCTTTTCTTAATGGCAAAAACTCCAGTTGCACGCATGTAACTGCACTGAGGCCAAAGGAATTACTCTGTATTTTCGGTGCTTAAATTATCAGCAGAACCTGAGCTCTATCATGCTCTCTTCACATGTACATTCGGCTCATCAGCACATACACGGCTGGTACGTAAAAACAATCTCCCTAACGATGTGTCCCAATTTCGGTCTCTCCCACAAACCCCGAACCGTACAGGGGCCGTGGGAATCATTTTCCATCTGACCGTGGGCAAGCTGTAGTCTTAAAAAAATTCTTGCAAAGACAAGGGGGAGATGGGGGAAATACCGCAGCTCCAAGAAATTCGATTGTTGAAATGTAATGTAAATTGTGTATATCTTTGCATATGTCTCCATTGGCGCTTGTGTTTGTGTATTAAACAGTCGCACAGGCGCAGAGTCCAACTCTGCAGCCGGGAGGCTGCCTATATTTAGCTACCTCCTGCTCGCTCGCAGGGTATTAAAACAGGAAACCGCGTTGATTTGCCCCCCCCTCCGCACACACACACACAAATACACGCAGGTAGAAATCGGCGACACTTTCCCGGGAGGAGGAGAAGCAGCACCAGAAGATACCGGGGCACAGGTAGCCCCCCCGGCGGTGCAGCACCTGCCCAGCCTCCCAGGGGCTCCCGGGAGCAGGGGCCAAAGGTGGCCCGAGGTTAAGGGCCTCTCCCCGGCAGGCCTTGGCAGGCTTTTTTCCGCTCCGCTTCTCCTGTCAGTGGGACGGCGACGAGCCCCGAGGGCGGCCCCGGGCCGGGGCCGCGGGGAATCCCGGCCCCTTTTCCAGCGGCTCTGCCGGGTCTGCAGCACCAAACCACCGCGGCAGCCGCTCCTCTGGAACGGCTCCGAAGACAAAGACAGGGGTGCTCCTCCGCACGGCCGGAAAGCCAGACCCCGCGGCCGCTGGAGATCCAGGGTGCTGCCAGTAGTGTCTGCATCGAGCAGCCTGGCTTTCCCCTAGGTGATGGGGAAAATAAAGGACAGGTCTTTTTGTCCCGGCCACATAATCAAGGATATTGCCTCTCCCAACCTTTCTGAAAGCCGCAAAAAAGCAGACTGTTCCTTCGCGTTGTCCGCTGCTGCGGAAAACAACGTGATGAACCGTGGAGCAAGGTGAACGAGGGAGCAAAGACGCGTTTCCCATCCGGGTGTCACGGCGGTCAGTGCCGGGACAGGCAGCACACCCTCCTCCGGGGGCGAGCAGAGACGCAGGTGGGCCGGCAGGCTCTGCCAAGGAGCTTCCAGCCCCACTGGGGCTGCCGCCTGCGGGACCCCCGCACCGCCCGGGCACTACCCCGCACGGGGCGGCTCCGCACCGGTTCCTTGCCGAGGGACCGCGGGACAGGGCGGACTCCTACCCGCAGGTGGGGCTTGCCATTTTCCTAGAACACGTTTAATATTTGTGGTGTGGGATTTTTGTTTTGTTTTGGGTTTTGTTCGTGGCTTTTATTTTATTTTTTTTTTTTTTTTTTGGGAGGGACGGAGGGGAGAGAGAGTGGCTTTTATTTTATTTATTTATTTTTTTTTTTTAGGGAGGGAGGGAGGGGAGAGAGAGGAGGCGAGTTCACGCTCGGGCCGGCCCGGGAGGGGGTGACTAGAGCAGACCAAGGACGAGGGCTGCCCTCCTCCACCCACAGCCGCAAAAACCTCCCTGGCTCCCTCTCAGACGTGTCCTACGGCCCACAGAAGAAAACCCCGGCAGAGGATGAGGGGTTTGGCTCCTCGATCCGAGGCCCTTGGGGTGACTGAAGAACCATCCCCAGCTCTTTCTCCGGTGTTTCCCCAGGCCTGCTGCCCCACTGAGGAGCCGCTAGAGGTGTTTGGCACCAAATGGTGCTGGCGATAGTCGGGGTGATACTCGAAAAAAATTAAGAGTGGTGAGTGGTGGCTACAGAGCTGCAGCTTAAGCCGTTCTGTGGTTCTCAGGTGCGCCTGCGGCTGTTTGCCTAAAATCTGACTCGGTAGTAAAGAGGCCACGGCTTGGGCTCCCGAAGGACACGGATGGCAGCCAGCAGCACATCCTCTGCTGAAACAGAAACTAGCCAGGGAAATCTCTCCCGCAGCAGTGGCTCGGCGCTGGGAGAGACAGAAAGGGGTTCAGAAGGCGACCCGCAAGGACTCCCTGATGTCTACAGAGGGGTGCAAATAGCCACCAGAACTGGTGAACGACGTCCTCCTCACCAGAGTAGGGACACTAATAACAATAACAAAACAACAACAACAATAACAATAACAATAATAACAATAATAATAAAGGTTAAAATGCTTGTAGATATTTTAAACCTTCTTTTCTTTATTTTTAAAAAAAGTGAGGAAAAAAGAAAAAAATTATGGGAACTAGAAAGGCCACAAGCAACCTTTTAATGCACGGCCGATTGAGAAATAAAACAGTGCTTCCACACCGAACAAGAAAGGTAGAAAACCATAAAACGGGTGAAAAGGAAAAGACGGGTCTGGTTTTCAGCTTGCCGAGTATCAGCTTGCGAGGCTGCCGGCGGCCGGGCAGAGGGGTGGCCGGGGGTGGCCGGGGGTGGCCGCGGGGCCGGGGCCGGCGCTGGGCGAGCGCTCACGGGCCGGGGGCGCGGGTTGCGGCGTTGTCTCCTAAATTGCTCTGTGGGGAGAGCAAATCCTGCAGGCGGTGACGGCTCTGAAAAACACCTCTGCCCGCT